GGGCGCATGTGGGGTGGGGGATCAGGCCCCCGGGAACATGCTGTCTCTACTGGCTTGATTTAAAACCAGGTCCAGGATGGGAATTTCCCCAATGCTGACCACAAGGAAGCCCCATCCCTTGCTGCCACTAAGGTGCAAAACAGAGCAGGCCAAAGCCTATAGTTAGGGCCCTACCAAATTCACAGTCCATTTTGGTCAATTTCACAGTCATAGGATTTTAAAAATTATAAATTTCATGATTTCAGATATTTAAATCTGAAATTTCAAGGTATTGTAACTGTAGGGGCCTGAACCAAAAAGGAGTTTGGGGGAGTTGCAAGGTTATTGTGTGTGTGTGTGGGGGGGGTGCAGTACTGCTACCCTTACTTCTGCACTGCTTGCTGCATTCAAAACTGAGCAGCTGGAGAGCGGTGGCTGCTGGCCTGGAGCCCAGCTCTGAAGGCAGAGCTGCTGCCTTCAGCAGCGCAGAAGTAAGGATGGCATGCTATGGTGTTGCCACCCCTATTTCTGTGCTGTTGCCTTCAGAGCTGGGCCCTCAGTTAGCAGCCGCCGCTCTCCGGCCACCCAGCTCTGAAGGCAGCAGCTCAGAAGTAAGGATGGCATGCTATGGTATTGCCACTGTTACTTCTGTGCTGCTGCCTTCAGAGCTGGGTGCCCTGCCAGCAGCTGCCGCTCTCCAGCTGCCCAGCTCTGAAGACAATGCAGAAGTAAGGGTGGCAATATCACGACCCCTCTAAGATAGCCTTGCAGCCCTCCCTGCAACTCTCTTTTGGGTCAGGATCCCTAGTTTGAGAAACACTGGTGTCCCCCATGAAATCTGTATGGTATATGGTAAAAGCACACAAAAGACCAGATTTCACAGTCTATGACACGTTTTTCATGGCCGTGAATTTGGTAGGGCCCTAACTATAGGGTCAAGTGCTTCTTGGGATCGGCACAGCCAGGGCCTGCTGCAGCCTGAGAGCGGGGGGGCGCAGTGAAAGGGGAAGGTCTCTCTCCCCTTGCCTAGCTTCTGGCAGGTTCCAGGTGGTCCTGCAGCAGCTTCACTGGCAGGGAGCGACCCCGCTGGTAAGTCAGGCCAGGCATGGAGGAGGCTCACACTGCGCCCCCATTGCATCAGCTGATGGCAGGGGGGACCTAGCACCCGAGAATCAGGCCCCACTGCTACAGGGAGGCTGTGTTCAAACAGCAGGCCCCAAGCATGGCCAGTGAGGCAGCTGGCACTAAACGCTACCCCTCCCCCCCCCCGTTGGAGAAACAAGGTGGGGATAGCTTTTATGGGACCAATTTCTGCTGGGGGAAGAGAAACGTAAGCTGAAAATCAAAGATATGCCTCCCCCACCTTGTCTCTCTAATGTCCTGGGACTGACACGGCTACATCACTGCAAACCCCTGGTATTGGCAGAGAGGCTGAGAAGTGGGTTCCCCTCTTGTCCCTACGGATGGTCCCACAGCTTAGCGGGAGCATGAGGCTGGAGCCCAGTAACCTGCAGTGGAGGTGCAATGGGGATTCATAGATTTTAAGGCCAAACGGGACCATTCTGACCATCTGCTCTGACCTCCTGTGTAACGCCAGCCAGATGATCCACCCAGTGATTCCTGCACCCGGCCCAGAGCTGGGGAGGAGCGGAGGAAGTGTCCATCAGGGTGGGTAGGAATGACAGGGGTGAAGGAGCAATGCAGGCCCTGCTTACCCTGCAGCTGGCCCTGCCTCCACATCAGCTGTAGTGAAAGGGGAGTGCACTGCACAGGATGCAGGGATTGCTGCGCCTGGTGCTATGGATCGAGGACACCAGGCAGCACCTTTTGCCAGCCCAATCCCCCTTGAAAAACACACCACCAAGCGGTCTGTCCCTGCGGTGCCTTGCCAAGCTGCATTGACCAAGCTGAGCCATTTAACACTCCCAGCTGGCTTCCCCCAACTCTGTTGCTGCAACGCAAAGACACTGCAAAAAGCAACCACCGATGGGCTCCTAGTACCCAGGGATAAATCAAAGGCTCTTGCCCCTATGTTTCTATGTCCTTCATACTGTATGTGAATGAATGAACATGCATGTACACCCCAAACCAAATCCATGTACAAGCCAAAACCACCGGACAGACATACAGGGGGACAGATGCACTGACTAGATAACCATCATTAAAAGCAGCTGCAGTGGCAGGGACTCCTGTTTCTGTATGTTTAAGGGAGCGCCTAGAGCAGAGGTGGCGACTTTCAGCAGGAGAAGGCAGGCATGGGGGGGAACTTGGCTTTCTCCAGGGTCATACGTCTAGACCAGCTGGAGCTAGCATTTCACAGCTTGGTAACCACATAGTCTTGTTTTGCATCTAGTTATTGAAGTTTGCTTCCATCTTCCCCGTGGAACAGACGTGGGGACTGCAGGGTTGGCAGGGCTTTGCCATGCATGGCCCTGTCTTCCTGCCTCCAATACCAGACCCACAATCCTTGCAGCTTGGCTCCCTCTCTTTGGCGCAGGTAATGTGCAAACAGCACATGTGCCTCGCTTTAGCCACCCCATGGAGGGCTCACGAGTACAGCACATCTCTCTGTGCCAGGCAGAAAATAGGTTCAGCCAACGGTAATGCTAATGCTGGCAAGCGCTTTGCACAGGTCTTTAGAGGACATTAGCAAGGCTGCTTTAGGCTTCAGGGCAGCTGCATCTTGCGAGCTGCCCCACCTGAGAACTCAGAGCCAGGCCCAAACCCCAGCTCCCAGGGCTGCAGCTCATGGCCATTTCAAACAGGGTTAAAAAGTTAACCTTTTCTTTCCAGTCGCTCTCCTCACACACACTGCCACCTTTAAATGTAACCGCAGGATCTGCTCCCTCCCAGCCTAGCTTTTCCTGCCCTGATGTCATGACCACAGCTTTGACACCTCACACTGATTTCCACAGCAGCACACTGACTGACATCAAGCAACCCGATATTATGACTTCAGATTTGGGGGGGGGGGTGCATGGGGGACAGCCTTCGCTGTCTCACTTCTATTCAAGGAGAGCAAAGGAAACCCCAGAGACAATCAATCCTCTTCCCCCCGCTCCAGGCTGCCTTTCCCCATGTTTGCTTCATGCTAGTTATTCCCTTATGGATTCCAGGATTCGTTGGGGTTTCTTTTTTTTAGTGGGAGAGGAGGAGGAGGAGCTTCTAAACCAATAGACTACCAACTAATGACAACTCAGCAGGACAAAGCTGACTGCTTGGACCACCCTGCTGCAGCCCAGGGGCAGGAGGCACTAACAGCTTTATACACAGTGCAAAAACCACTCTCCAGCTGGGCTGGGATTTGTTTTTAAAGGGACACGACTAATTTTAAACATTGTTTCTCGCTGTTCTGTTTCTAATAATCCCACAGAATCCCCCTGGGGGTACGTGTTTTCCATCTGAATTTCTGTCTTTCCAGTTTCACAATTTGTTTTCCATCTGCCGATTCCTAGAGCAAAGGAGCGAGGTTGATGGCAGGTTCTGCTACGAGTTGTTCATCTGCCCTAGGAGAGAGACCTCTGTGCGTTTTCCTTGAGGGTGGGTGTGTGTGAAGGGGACTGCTCAGAGCTGCGGGGCGTGGCGGGGGACAGCGCAGGATCTCACTCTTCATAGAACAGGAAGCACGTTTTAAGTGAAGTTGAGTTATATTTGCACCACTTCCGACATTCTCCCTTCCCCGCCTTCATCACCTTCCTCAAAAAATAACCTCCTACCTGGGAGGCTTTTATAGGGGAATGCCCCACCTACAACTCATTCACTCCCAGGTTTCCAAGCAAGCACTGCACAGCCCTGCACAAAGAGCTGGGGCTTCCAGAGCAGGGGTTCTAGATGCTAGTATTGGTGAGCTGCACGGCCATTCACATCTGTTTGCACTGTATTTTGTCAGCAAATGTTCCTCCTGGCACTGGGCCCAATTCATAAATTTTCAGATCTGGAGTCAAACCCTCCTGCATTTCAGGGTGGCTGAAGCTGGCGTGGCTGGCTGGCACTCTGCTGTGGCTCCTGCATTCAGCACAGCTGGGGAACCCAGTCCAGAGACCACCACACTTCACATGCTGCTGGAATCACCTGGAAGAGCAGAGCCCGTCTCCAGAGAGGCCACTCTAGCAGTGCCAGTTGATTGGCAAACAGGACCTATGGTGAACGCAAGGTACTTTCTGCAGCATGGCAGATGTTTATCAGCTGGATCCACTGCTCCAGCTTCTGGTGGTGATTATACAGTAACTGCCTGTTCAGGGGATGTGCCCCAGCTATCAGCAACAGAAATAAACGGCCTCCTGGGGCTCGCTGGCAGCTTAGCTTGTATCTTGGCCCCCAGCCAGGGTCTGAGTGCAAGCTGCCTGTTGGTTTTCTGGCTGCAGGAGGTTTAGGCTGTGGTGACAAGGCACTAGCTGTGAACAGAGCACCAAGGAGGGCCATGTTGGCAGCTCATCAGGAGCCAGAGGGCTGCACTGAAATCCCAGTGAGTCAAAACCACATCCACTGACAAAAGCACTGGGTGCTCAGCCTGCACTTAGCTGTACCCTTGTCAGTGCAAGTGTTCCTAGAGGAGGTGGCTTCTGGCAGGTGAAGCCAACCTCCGGAGGCCAAACCCTTGGAACAAAGGGTTAACTGTGGTGTCCGGCTCCCCCAGCAGAGTGCAGAAATCTGGATAACGAGCTCCAGTAAGCCACTTTCCTCCTCCGGCAACTACAGACCAATCAAGCCCCTTTCCCCAGCGACAGAGAGCAGATGCTGGGGCCAATTCCACACAGGGGTAGCCTGGATCACTGAGAGCTAGCAGTGCCCCGGTTAGGCTGCCTGGGAGCCCCAGTCACAGACCAGGACCCCACTCTGCTAGGTGCTGAACAGACCCAAAGCAAAAAAGACAGTCCCTGCCCCATAGATCTTACAACGCACGTATAGGACAACAGATGGCTACAGACAAAGGGGGAGTCCAAGGGCACAGGGAGCTGATACTGTGCAGGGTGATAGGCAGCTTGCAAGGACACGGGACACAGCAGAAATATTTCAACTCTTTTATTTGTTTAAAAACACGTTTGTGGCTTCCTCCCCAGATAAGGGTGCAGCCAGGATTACAGGCCCTGTGCCTATCGCTCAATGCATCCCCTCTGGAGTTCACGTAACAGCATCTACACCTACAGCCTGTGGTCTCACCAGGAGGGCGGCCCAGTACAAGTGACACAGGCGCCAGACTGTGGAGAGTCTGTGGCTCAAAGCGGCCCTCGCCCACCACCTCCCTTAAAAAAGATAATTAGAAAAATCATCTGCAAGAATAAAAGCAGTTTTGTAAAAAATAGGCTGGAATCTGTTGGAACAAGGGGGTGGAAGTTGGGAGCTCCCCTACCCCCCAGCACTGGGGCCACTGTGTGCTCACAGCCACCGTAGAGCCGCAGCCACTCACTGCTGCTTGGAAATGTCAACAAAAAAAAGAAAAAGAAAAAGAAAAAAAAAAGTAATTTCTTCCAAATTTCCCCTGCAGCCACGAATTCCGCAAGCTGCTCACATAAACACGCTGTCTTCGGCACAGGAAACGCTCCGCTGTTGTGGAAACATGAGCTTTCCTTTTCAGCTAAACCACATGCTTCAGATTCCCTGTAAACAAAGGGAGAGAGAAAACAACATTTACATTCAGACTAGCTTCAGTCTCACAGGGAGGCAGACCAAGGTATTTTTTTGGCTGCGTACAGGGCCTAGGGTGACCAGGTGTCCTGATTTTATAGGGACAGTCCCGATTTTTGGGTCTTTTTCTTATATAGGCTCCTATTACCCCACTCCCCCCGTCCCAATTTTTCACACTTGCTGTCTGGTCACCCTAATAGGGCCCTTTGCTTTGTCTTCAATGCTGCTGTACTCCAACTGGGGGTTGTTCCTCTCCTTCAAAACCCCAGGAAGAAGGGATTTTCGAAAAGTGTATTGGAAAAGCACTGATGTGAAATCCAGCAGGGCTGACCTCTGGGAGATTAGAGCGCTGCTTATGACATGTCCCTCCCCCGTCACTGGCAGAGCTGTCAAATCAGTAAGTGATACAGACACACTAGCCCTCAAAGCAGATCGAATTCCCAGCATGCCAGACAACATCCTGTTCTCATTGAGGGGGTTTGTGCAGGGTTCCATAGCTCTCTTTCAAACCCAGCTTTAAGGGGCTGCTAAGGGGAACAAACCGTTTTCATTAAGCATTCGGACTGGAGACTAATAATTAGTTCAGATGTATCAGCCATGAACCCTTAATTTCTTTAGGTCTTTGCTTGCTCAGGATGTCCTATAGGGCTGGAGGCACTGCCTGGCCTCCTTTCTTCGACGACCCTCCCTGGAAGTCAATAACGATTCTGTCTGGGTAAGGGACACAGGATCTGATTATTAACTGGAATCATGTTGGATCACAACAAGCTTTGAATTTTTGTTCTCTGACCACTCTTCTGTTGGAATTTTAACAGCTTTAAGCTAGGGTTAGAAAAAGGTCTTCAAGACCCAGGTGTTTAAGGAGCATGTCAATTAAATGCCTGGGTTTGAACCACATGGCTGGTGTGGAGAAAGTGAATAGGAAAGTGTTATTTACCTCCTCACATAACATAAGAACCAGGGCTCACCCAATGAGATTAACAGGCAGCAGGTCTAACACAAACAACAGGAAGTGCTTCTTCACACAACGCAGTGTCACCCTGAGGAATTCATTACTGGGGACACCGTGAAGGCCAAAACTCTAACTGGACTCAAAAAAGAATTAGGTAAGTCCCTGGAGGATAGGGCCACCAATGGCTATTAGCCAGGTTGGGCAGGGACATAACCCCATGCTCTGGGTGTCGCTAGCCTGTTTGCCAGAAGCTGGGAGTGGATGAAAGGGGATGGATCACTTGATGGATCACTTGATCCCTGTTCTGTTCATTCCCTCTGAAGCTCCTGGCACCAGCCACTGTTGGAAACAGGACACTGGACCATTGGTCTGACCCAGTATGGCCGTTCTGATGTTCACATAACCCCTAAGCATGCAGCCCTGCGGACAAGAGCTGTAAACCCAGTAGATCTGCCCACTACTCAGCGTTAGGACAGGCTGGCACGCAAATGTGAGGCCGTGATAGGACACCGAGGTGCTGCAGTAAGTGATGCTGGTGATTCTCTGATTTCTTTTTCTGAGGCTTGACCATCATCCCTCTGCAACATGCTCTATTGCTGAAATCCTCAGCCAGGTCCCCATCTCCTGTCAGCAAGGCACAAAGGTCCAGCCCTCCCACCAGGAGCAGTGTATTGCTGCCTGCCTATCGCACAACTCTGACTTCCCACAGAATACTGACTCAAGTTCCAGGCCTTGGTCCTTATCTTCAAGGCGTTCCACAGCCTGGATCGAGCAGGTAAGACTATTGTCAACAACTTTTCTCCTCTGGCATGCTGGATCTCTCTACCGTCTGCACAGGAGAGAGCTTCCTCAGGGGCCAACCTGAGTCTGTGGAATGAATTCACCCAGGAACTAAGGACCATCACAAACCTCCCCTCCATCCGCTCGAAGGGCCAGACACATTTCTTTGGCCTGTCTTCTCTAATATAAACACGTGGCTGCATGTACAGAATTATACAAACCTGCACACCCAAGCACTGTACTGCACACTTCTCCCGGGAGCGAACATGACAGACGTTAGTCTGCTGCTTATTGAATGACTAGAAGGCACTCAGATACTCCAGCGATGAGTGCAGTATGAGAACCCTAGATTTTCCCAGCCAAGATTAGTGGCCTGTTCCCATTGAAATCTAAGGGAGTTTCTCCATTTTCTAGGCTTCAGTGGGTGAAGAGATCAGGCCATAAGATGGGAAAAAACACATGTGGGCTTAAATTGTGAAAGTCAGGAGGCCCGAGTCCACGTATGGACTGATAAGCAAATTGATTACTGGCCTGACAGCTCTACATACAGATGGATACCCTCTCTACTGACACGACAACATATACAGGGCAAGCTTCCCTCCCACTGCCCTGTTGACTCACCTGGTCCCTGACCCTGAGAAATCTTCCCAATGGGTGACAGACTCCACTGGTTATTCAGTCCTACTCCTCCATGCTGAGGTCCTAGTTGTAACAGTGGCTTTTGTGATGGGGACACCATCCATATTCATCCACACCGCTCTTGGGAGGCAGGGAAGGGCTGTTATCCACGTAGTACAGACGGGGAACCGAGGCCCAGAGAAGCCAAGGGTACATCCACGCAGAAATGCTACAGTCATACAGCAGTAGGGCTGCAGTTGCACCGCTGTAGTGTAGACACTTACTGCAGCAATAGAAGGGGTCTCCGATCGCTGTTGTAACTCCACCCCTCTGAGAGATGGTAGTGGTGTCTACCCCAGGGCTTAGCTTTATTAAATCACACAGGGCACAACATTTTCCACAGCCCTGAGTGATGTAGTTAAGCTGACCTAGCTTTGTAGTACAGACCAACCCACAGTGACGTTGTCATAACTATAAAGGGAAGGGTAACAGCTCTCCTGTGTACAGTACTATAAAATCCCTCCTGGCCAGAGACTCCAAAATCCTTTTACCTGTAAAGGGTTAAGAAGCTCAGGTAACCTGGCTGACACCTGACCCAAAGGACCAATAAGGGGACAAGATACTTTCAAATCTGGGGCGGGGAGAAGGCTTTTGTTTGTGCTCTTTGTTTAGGGGGTTGTTCGCTCTTGGGACTGAGAGGGACCAGACATCAATCCAGGTTCTCCACATCTTTCTAAACAAGTCTCTCATATTTCAAACTTGTAAGTAAACAGCCAGGCAAGGCGTGTTAGTTTTCCTTTGTTTTCTCAACTTGTAAATGTACCTTTTACTAGAGTGTTTATCTTTGTTTGCTATACTTTGAACCTGGGCTAGAGGGAGGTCCTCTGAGCTCTTTAAGTTTGATTACCCTGTAAAGTTATTTTCCATACTGATTTTACAGAGATGATTTTTACCTTCTTCTTTAATTAAAAGCCTTCTTTTTAAGAACCTGATTGATTTTTCCTTGTTTTTAGATCCAAGGGGGTTGGATCTGTATTCACCAGGAGTTGGTGGGAGAAAGGAGGGGGGATAGTTAATTTCTCCTTGTCTTAAGATCCAAGGGGTTTGGATCTGTATTCACCAGGAGTTGGTGGGAGAAAGGAGGGGGATGGTTAATTTCTCCTTGTTTTAAGATCCAAGGGGTTTGGATCTGTATTCACCAGGGAATTGGTGAAAGGTTTCTCAAGGCTTCCCAGGGAAGGGAATTAGCTTTGGGAATGGTGGCAGCGGACCAGATCTAAGCTGGTAGTTAAGCTTAGAAGTTTTCATGCAGGCCCCCACATTTGTACCCTAAAGTTCAAAGTGGGGAAGCAGCCTTGACAGACGTGCCTAAGGTCATACAGGCAGTTTGAGGTGGAGCAGGTCTCCAGAGTCTTAGGCTAGTGCCATAACCACTGAGCCATCCTGGGAAACAGAAGACTAATCTCGTCTCCCTTTGATGAGCAAAAACCCCTGTAAGCCCTTGGATCTCCTCAAAGCAGCTGCAATGCCAGGAAGGTGAATGGCAATTCTGTATCTACACGCAAGTGAAGCTCTAGGTGAGATCCTCAGCAGATGTAAATTGGCATCAATGGCGCTGAGGATCTGGGCCTATCTACAGCTTTTATTCTTTAAGTCTCAAACAGGAAGAATTGGCTGGGGCTTCCCAGGACTCTTGGCAAACAATTTGGCAACTCTAGCTCAGTTATTTTCAAATATGCAACAACTACAACTTGATAAAGATGGCACACAGGCCTGCGCTGGGATTCCCTCCCCCAATTTCAACACTACCAATTTCTCTGTAGACTCACTGCTTTACATCCCAAACAGATCATAAAGGCTTTTATTGCATGCCCGAGGAATGGATGCACCATTGTGTAAATTTATTGCTTTGCACAGTAGTTAGGGTCTGTTATGACCAGCACAGACTTGGCTGGAAAAGCCGACAGCAGCCAGAACAACTGAGCAGTCAGCAAAGCAAAGACTAAAATTAAGAACAGACTTGACTGTGTTGCGGAATTGTAGCTGTGCTAAGGTATCATTCACACCTTGCTCGCCCATGGTCATCACTGCCCTAAACAAAGCCAATGGGACCCTCTGCTTTTCACAGATGGAGACTCATGAAATTATCATCATCTCGCTGTGATGTTTCATCATCTCGCTACGTCACCACATGCATCACACCACAGCAGCGTAATAATGTCATCTCATTTGGGTCTCTCCCTAGCTGCTGGGAGGACAGAGGTCTCTTTCCTCTCCTCCTCCCAGTTCTGGATCGTGACCCAATACATGCTTGCTGGTATGGAGGGGAGGACAGCATTTGAGAAGCTAATCCCAGTAGCTTTCTGCTCTGCCGGAGCCACATGTGCACTAGGCAGCATAACACCATGCTCCTGAGTGGGGTATTGGCCGTGCGATTGAACCTGGCACCTTGGGATCTTAAAGCATGAGCCTCTCCTGCCTGAGTTAAGAGACTAACCCAGGCTGGTGCAGGCTCAGCCACTACTAGAGGAGGGCGAGCACTGCACAGGGTGGGACTTGCCTGCTCTTGGTGGTCCAGGGCGCTGAACAGAATGAGTTGAGCGCTGACCAGATACATGCACCC